AAGAACTTAATTCGTTTTGGAGGTCCGTTCCTGAAACTGCTCTTAACCTGAGGCACCACTTTAGCTAATGGGGCCTCACGCCGCCGCCACGCGATTCCTTTTCTCATCCTGAAGCAAAGTTCTTAACCCGAGGTACTATTTCTGGGTTAGTGGAGTCTGTAACCTGAAGTGTCTGTAACCTGAAGCGTCTGTAACCCGAGGTACCACTGTATTTAAAACAAACACATCGTTGGGTCCAGAGGTCACCTAACTAAGTGTTCTTTAAAGAAGGCAAATGTGAAATTGCGGGTTTTCTAACAATAAGCGGCAACTTGTCCCTAAGGCTGGGTGTCACACCTGAGGACTGAAAAATCCCAATTTTAAAAATGGGATTCAGTTGCTGGTCTAGTCAGCTTTGCATAGAGGATACCACCCTGCATTTTGTCTTGCAAGGGTTGAGTTTTATTCATATCATTCATCTCTCTTCCTCTCTCTTTAAAATTAGATTAAGCTGGTCAATGTCATAAATGTTTCTTCTAGAATAAAACGCCTCTGAGCAAATGGGCAATCTCTCTTTGCTTTTGGGTGGCTCTCCTTGCAACATATTTTCCCCATTAACTTAGTAGTAAAGTCAATTGGCAGCGATGAATCTTCTTCATTAATTTCTTTGTTGGCAAACTTTATCTCTCTTTCGTAATTAGTGACTGGGTGGAATTTGCTGGAAGGAGGGAGGATGATGGTCTCTTGTGGTTTGAAATCTGGAACTGATGTGAATGACGCTAAAAGTTAATTTTGTCATCATTAATGATGAATAAGATTTTCCTTATGTTTTCACTTCAAGAAAAAGGAAAAGAAATAATGGAAAGTTAAGTCCTATTTGTTTGTCCTGTATTTTTATGGTTGGGGATGGGGAGATAAACTTGGGAATTAGGGCCATATGTTTCAGCTATAGATTAATCAACCAAGTTTAAGTTGATTTACTGATGGGAACTTCCCCCCTCCTCCATGTTAACAGGACCAGGTTCTAACATAGTGTTGTTGTTGTTTAGTCGTTTAGTCGTGTCCGACTCTTCATGACCCCATGGACCAGAGAACGCCAGGCACTCCTGTCTTCCACTGCCTCCCCCAGTTTGGTCAAACTCATGCTGGTAGCTTTGAGAACACTGTCCAACCATCTCGTCCTCTGTCGTCCCCTTCTCCTTGTGCCCTTCAGCTTTCCAACATCAAGGTCTTTCCCAGGGAGTCTTCACTTCTCATGAGGTGGCCAAAGTACTGGAGCCTCAGCTTCAGGATCTGTCCTTCCAGTGAGCACTCAGGGCTGATTTCCTTAAGAATGGATAGGTTTGATCTTCTTGCAGTCCATGGGACTCTCAAGAGTCTCCTCCAGCACCATAATTCAAAAGCATCAATTCTTCAGCAATCAGCCTTCTTTATTGGTCCAGCTCTCACTTCCATACATCACTACTGGGAAAACCACGGCTTTAACTATACGGACCTTTGTTGGCAAGGTGATGTCTCTGCTTTATAAGATGCTGTCTAGGTTTGTCATTGCTTTCCTCCCAAGAAGCAGGTGTCTTTTAATTTCGTGGCTGCTGTCACCATCTGCAGTGATCATGGAGACCAAGAAAGTAAAATCTCTCACTGCCTCCATGTCTTCCCCTTCTATTTGCTCGGAGGTGATGGGACCAGTGGCCACGATCGGCAAGGCAGTGATCCATGAAGGGGAACATAGTGTAGTCACTCCTAAGTACAGGACTTACTGCAGAATCCTATGGATAAATAATAAGAGGGGGCAAGGCACTATTGATCTGGTCTGGGGCCTGATACATGCTGGATCGCTCAATGCCCCAAAGAGGATTGAGGGCCTTGCACAACCCTAAAGTTTTGCATCAGGGTTGGGGAGAGGAAAAGCCAATGTAGGCAGAGTATTGCTTGCACCGCCTCCTTCTCCCCAACTCCATGTCATCCTTACCACCCCCTAACAAGTTTAATAACACCCCCCACACACCTTTCAACTGTGTTACAGGCCACTCCAATCTCTGCCAAGTGGTAGCAAGATTCCAGGGGCCTTGGCACTTAACCAGGGCTTGTGTTCCTTTAAAATGAGGCATAGTGGAGACTGTAGTGTCTTTAAGATATATGGTTTTATTTATACATATATACAACTTAGCCTTGATGGAGGGAGGGCAGAGCATCACGCCCCAAGGGTGCCTCCTCATAACTTCAGCAAGCTTGGGTCCAGCCATTCTCCCTGGTCTTTGCATGCAGGTTCCTCTAGCCCAGGCATAGGCAAACTCGGCCCTCCAGATGTTTTGAGACTACAGTTCCCATCATGCCTGACCACTGGTCCTGTTAGCTAGGGATGATGTGAGTTGTAGTCCCAAAAAACATTGGAGGGCCGAGTTTGCCTATGCCTGCTCTAGCCAGCACCACATGGAGTTCTGACCTATCCTCTCATGTAAAAAGGGCCAGCTTTTTCCCCTGTGGGGACACCTCTCCAGACCACCCCCCCCACGAGTCACATGCCCTCTCCCCATGCCACGCCCCTTACCAGCCTTGTGTCACACCCTCCTTCTGACTCTCAACCAGTGTTCTTCAAACCTGGGTCTCCAGCTGCTGTTGGACCACAACTCCCATCATCTCTAGCTAGCAGGACCAGTGGCCAAGGGATGATGGGAGTTGTAGTCCAACAGCAGCCGGGGACCCAAGTTTGAGGAGCACTGCTCTGAATATCACACCGGTCTCTGAACTGTGATAGTACCTGTTGCTCGCTTGGCCAAAGGACAGAGAGGGTTCGTGTATGAGTGTAGAAACTAGCCCATTTGTTCAAAGGTAACATGACCTTTCACTGTTTTGCCCCAGACCCCACCCATTGCTAACATGAGGCTCCTGGGTGCTTTCCCAGGAAGGAATGCAGCCCGTGGAGCTCAGGACTATTGATCTGAATGCAATCTCAGGCTGAGGACCAGGGATTTTTTTGTCTCTGGCCATATGAGAAGCATTACACGGTGCAAAGGCCCTTGAGTGACAGCTCCCTCGGAGCAGCCTGTGTGAGTCAGCCCTGAGCTATGCGTTTCTGAGTAGGTCAACTCTGGTTTAGGCAATAAGTTGCAGCTCCCGGAAGGATTGGATTAGAGAGGTTTAAAGACAGGGCTGCGGATCTGCTCAAACCCAAGGCCAAATGGGACAGAGCTTCAACACAACAGGGGAGGTCTCCGGCCTTAAAAGGCCAGTTACTCATCAGCGAGCATCTCCGATGGGACGTCCCAAGAGCAAACTCCTTGGGTGTAACTTATTTCATACCCTTACTGGAATATGATGCTAGCATGCAAATAACATCCGATGGGCAGTCAGCGGAGAGAGGCAATGTCGTGTGGCCTCCAACTCAATCTTCAGTCGGCACCTTATAAAGCTTAGAAAGGCATTTCTGTCCGATGGCCCTTTAAGACGGGAAAACAAAAGTGTTAACAAATGAGCTTTTTGTCATTTATTCAGCCTTCTTTTATTGCGCATCTGAAAAAAAAAAAGACTTCTGGAAGCCCAGAACGTGGAAGGGCTACATCAAGGAGGCCCCAACATGATACCACAAGTGTCATAATAATAATAATAATAATAATAATTTTTATTTATACCCCGCCCTCCCCAGCCAAGGCCGGGCTCAGGGCGGCTAACAAGCAATAATAAAAACAAGTTGAATGAATACAACTTAAAAAAGAAGATTAAAATACAAGATTAAAATATTGAAACATTAAAATATTAAAATGCAGCCTCATCACAGGAGGAGAAAGGAAAAAGAAAAAAGAAAGAGGGGCAGGGAATCAAATTGGCTCCAAGCCAAAGGCCAGGCGGAACAACTCTGTTTTACAGGCCCTGCGGAAAGAAATCAGATCCCGCAGGGCCCTGGTCTCATGAGGCAGAGCGTTCCACCAGGTTGGAGCCAGTGTTGAAAAGGCCCTGGCTCTGGTTGAAGCTAATCTAACTTACTTAGGGCCTGGGACCACTAGGGTGTTGCTATTTATGGACCTTGAGGATCTCCATGGGGCATACCGGGAGAGGTGGTCCCGTAGGTACGAGGGTCCTAGGCCGTGAAGGGCTTTAAAAGTCAAAAGCAGCACCTTAAATCTGACCCTGTACTCCACCGGGAGCCAGTGCAGCTGGAAAAGCACTGGGTGAATATGCTCCCATGGCAGAGACCCCGTGAGGAGCCTCGCTGCAGCATTCTGCACCCGCTGGAGTTTCTGGGACAGATTCAAGGGCAGCCCCACGTAGAGCGAATTACAGTAGTCAAGCCTGGAGGTGACCGTCGCATGGATCACTGTGGCCAGGTCGGGGCGGGAAAGGTAAGGGACCTTTCATGAGAAGTAAGATGCCATATATTTAAAGCACCCCTCCAGGTGCTTTAAATTCTAAATTCTAAATTCTGCAGTATTTCTTTGACACAATAATGGTGCATTCGAGCTGTACTTATACTGGACCATCACCATATCATTCTGCCTTATTACTTCTTTTGCCATCCTTCCCCAATGTTACTGCATTATTGCTGTCTGGAGAGGCACTCTTGCACTTTAGCACATCAAAAGTGTGACTAAGAAATAAACTGGAGCATTTGTGGCAGGGTTGCCATATCCCCCCAAAGTGAAAATCTGAGCAAAGTGGTTGAGCCCACATTTCCATACGTCCAGATTTCCCCAGACATTTTGTGGATTCAGCAAAAACCTGCCCCGATGCCATTTTGCTGAACAATTCCCTGGGAAAACCCAGATTTGGTAACCCTACTTTATGGTATAATACTAATATTTGCACACCTCCTCTGTAGACCTCAGGGTGGTCCGCAAAATAAAATTACAATATAAAAATACGAACAACAACAAAACAATAATTCCCCCTCCCACAACACATAGAAAAGGGCATCAGATGTCAATCAACCCAAAGCCTGGTTTTTGCCTGGCACCTAAAGGTGTACAATGAAGAGGCCAGGTGAGCCTCCCTGGGGAGAGCATTCCTCAAATGGGGAGCCACTGCAGAGAAGGCCCCGTTCTTGTGTTGCCACCTTCTGGACCTCTCATGGAGGAGGCACACGAAGAAGGGCCTCAGAGGTTGACCTCAGAGTCCAAGGAGGTTCATATGGCGAAAGACGGTCTTATAAAAAGTGACAGGACTTCGTCTGGAAGTGATGGGAGGTGCAGTGGTTGTAAACGAAGCAAGATGGCCGCCCTGGAAGATTGGAAAGCACAAACAGTATTAACAATGGGATTGCGTACTGGGATCCTACCGCCACCACGATCCTGAACAATCATTTCCGAACAGCAAACAGGATGTATCACAAAGGACCCAATGCCCAGGAAAGCAGCAGAAAACAGGTACTTTACTTGCTTGGCATTTTGCATTGAGCAAAATACTGGTGGGGCATCAGACCTTTTTCTGGAACCGGCTTACAAAAAATAAAATAAACCACCAAGTGGGGGCAACTGTACTATAGCTGGACCGGTTAATTTGAGAATTTTGCTGATGCTCGTTTAGATGCTGAAGGCAATGCATTAGGAACTGATGGCGCCTGATTATTATCCAATCAGTTCCTGATGCAGTATCTGCGACATCAAAAGCTCTGCAGGGTACACGTTTGTGTGTGTGTGTGTGTGTGTGTGTGTGTGCTTGTGTATGAGAGAGAGAGAGAGAAGAAAGAAAGAAAGAAAGAAAGAAAGAAAGAAAGAAAGAAAGAAAGAAAGAAAGAAAGAAAGAAAGAAAGATCCCTTCTATTTCCAACATTCAGGCAGTGAGTGCCGTTCCTTACATTGCCATAACAGCACCATCACCCATCCACAGACTCAGGGGAACCTCAATGTTTGCAGAAAGGGCAATAAGTATTTTTTTGGGGATGGGGGAAGCACAAAGAGACATGGAGCTCAGGGAGTATGTTCAATGGCCATGGAATGCTGACAAAAAACCAGGAAAAAGAAGGGGGAACGGAATGGTATGGCTGAAACCCCTGAATTCCACGCAGCAACATTTTGCTGCAGCTCCCACTTGTTTTAAACTACTGCCACAGTGCACAATTTACCATTTGATTGGGTGTGTTGTTCAGGCACTTGTTCGTCCACCAGGCTGGGAGGACTGCTTCCCTTTTGGAAATACTCACTATCGACTACATTAAAGAAGGTGGCGGTCGGCTGTTTTGCACTCACTGTTGTTTCTGGTTGATAAAAACGTATGGAGGCAATAAGCCCTTTAGCTCCAGAAAGTAAGAATCAGGATCAGGCCAATGACCAGTCTAGTTCAGCATCCCGTTCTCACAGGGACCGACCTGATGCCTGTGGGAAACTTCCTGTCAGGATTTGAACACAAGACCGCTATCGCCTCCTGCGGATTTCAGCAACTGGTATTCAGAAGCACTGTGGCCTCCAACTTCCCCCCGTTCTTTCCTGTGCAATGTTCCTTCGACCGACCGTTAATCCTGACATATACATACCTCCCAAGTGCCCTGGGGGAAAAGGACATTCAATATTTCTGCATGAGATTGCTGGCCACATGACCCGGAAGCTGTACGCCGGCTCCCTCTGCCAGTAAAGTGAGATGAGCGCCGCAACCCCAGAGACATCCGTGATTGGACCTAACGGTCAGGGGTCCCTTTACCTTTATACATAACGCGGGTGGCGCTGTCAGTTAAAACACAGAGCCTAGGGCTTGCCGATCAGAAGGTCGGCGGTTTGAATCCCCACAACAGGGTGAGCTCCTGTTGCTCAGTCCCTGCTCCTGCCAACCTAGCAGTTCGAAAGCACGTCAAAGTGCAAGTAGATAAATAGGTACTGCTCTGGCGGGAAGGTAAATGGCGTTTCCGTGCACTGTTCTGGTTCGCCAGAAGCAGCTTAGTCATGCTGGCCACATGACCCGGAAGCTGTACGTCGGCTCCCTCGGCCAATAAAGCGAGATGAGCGCCCAACCCCAGAGTTGGTCACGACTGGACCTAATGGTCAGGGGTCCCTTTACCTTTACCTTTATACATACCTCCCAAGTGCCCTGGGGGAAAAGGACAGCCCATTTTTCTGTGTGAGATTGCGGCAACCAAGTTGGGTGCCGAGATCTTGCGTGCTCTCACACCCTGAGAAAAGCATTTTTGGGGCACCTCACAAGATCTCGGGATGCGGGTGGCCCTGTGGGTAAAACCTCAGCGCCTAGGACTTGCCGATCGTCAGGTCGGCGGTTCGAATCCCCGCGGCGGGGTGCGCTCCCGTTGCTCGGTCCCAGCGCCTGCCAACCTAGCAGTTCGGAAGCACCCCCGGGTGCAAGTAGATAAATAGGGACCGCTTACTAGCGGGAAGGTAAACGGCGTTTCCGTGTGCTGCGCTGCCTCGCCAGATGAAGCTTGTCACACAGGCCACGTGACCCGGAAGTGTCTTTGGACAGTGCTGGCCCCCGGCCTCTTAAGCGAGATGGGTGCGCAACCCCAGAGTCGGACACGACTGGCCCCTACGGGCAGGTGTACCTTTACCTTTACACAAGATCTCACCCCCCAAAGCACTTTTTCTGAGCTGAGAGTGTGGAGCGGATCACATGACTCACCATGGTAATGCGTCCTCAAAAAGTTGGATGGTATGCTCAACATCCTCAACATTATCCTGGACACCTGTCCCATCACGTCTCACCTTTTCCTTGCAGAGGCGATGAAGGCAGCAGAGAAGGTTTCAGTTCATTTGGCAGAGTTGGGGCATGTATGGTGACTACATGTCCCATCATGCCCTTGGGGGGAATGGATGGAATTAAGAGTCACGTTCGCACCAAGGCATCCTGGGAAATGCAGTCTTTCCTCCCTTGCTCTCTCTGGCAGGGAAGTGATAGCCCTCCTACCACTGCCTTCACTGCCTCCCCATTCTCATGTCCCATGTAAGGCTTTTTTTTGGGGGGGAGGGGACTTTAATTAATAATATCTCAATCATAAAACCCTCCAGGCGATGTACACAGTACAATTATTGACACAGAAGCAGCCCAAATCCACAAAGCCATTAGAAAGCAAGGAATGCACACACACAAGATAACCAAGGATGAAACACAGATTAGAATCTGAGGAAAGAGATTGCTTGTTAAGCGTCACTATACGGCATGTTCATTTGCCAATAAAGCTACACGGATTTGCAAACAAATAAATAAACTGTCCAATTTTATGTCTGGATGGGCTTGCTGAAATAAAAAGGCCTTTGGCAGACGTCTAAAAACAATCTAGCAAGGGCGCCTGCCTAAAGGTGGCAGAGCGAGGTGAAATTGATGAAAGAGGTGGCAGTTTTTTGGTGGGCAGTTTTTTGGAGAAGCACCCATCCCTCAGGTGTGCACCCTCACAGCAAGTGAAGGGTGGTCCATGAGGATGAACAGGGTGCTGCTCCACCAACCCCAGTCAGTCCCGAACCAGTCCAGGGGTTGGCGCTGTCACTTTTCAATTAGCAATAATTGTGCAGGGGCGGACTTTGGTGCCCTGAACAAGGCCAAAACCTGGCACCTGCAAATGGATCTTCTCAATTATGGACCTTCTCAATTGTGTGAACCTTCGGCATGGCACCCTGTGCGGGGGAACCACCTGTGGCGCCCTAAACCAAGTGCTGAATGGCACCACGGATTAACCTTGTTGACTACGATTCTGCCACTCTGCAGAATCTTTAGCCTCATGTGTTGCCATTGTAGAACTCAGAACAGATGAGGGTGAATTTAGACCAAGCAGGTGACACCTGTCATTGCCTCTGGCGCCACCTACTGTTGACCTCCCTGCTTTTTACCCCACGGGTTCCAGCAGGCAGCAGCCAGCCTGTTCTGCAAGCCCCTGTTTTGGAGGGTAGGGGAACATAAGGATGCATGATTCCTCCTTACTTTCTCAGCCTACTTCACACACTGATTATTATTGCATTAGACCAGCGGGTCCCAAACATTTTTGTGCCACGGCCCCCTTGGTTCCACAAACTCACCCCCAGTGCCCGCTACCCCAACCTATAAAAAAACATTATTCAGAATAGCGGTTTGCATGACCCACTAAGGGAGATAACTGCACGATAAAATTCGAAACAGTGACAATCAATTGCACGTTGACTCAAATTCCAATGGAAAATATTTAGTTTAATTAATTCAACAAAACTGATGTCCTCGATCTAGTGATATCAGCTAAAGTCCAGCAGCCACTTGCCAGCCCCTTGCCTCTTAGTCCCCCCTAAGTAATGCCACTGCTTTCCAGGGGGTAGTACCCGCTAGCTCAGTCAGTAAAGCATGAGAATCTTAATCTCAGGGCTGTGGGTTCGAACCCCATGTTGGGTGAAAGATTCCTGCTTTGCACGGGGTTGGATTAGAATTCAGCCACGTCCAACTCCAAAGAGACTGTAATCTACTCACATTATAAAAATACTAGCTGTGATTTGCCCATTGTTATTGACAGGCGAAGTTGTTAAGCTTTTTTTTTAAGGGGAGCTAAAGCTTTTGTGATGGCCTGGGATTCGGACTCGGAGGAGTCCCCGCCTCCAGAACCAGCTGAGCTGGGGCTGGGGCTTGAGCCTGAAGGGTCCTCACCTGTGCTGGATCCTCAGGTGCAGGCACCAGCTCTGGCTCCTGAGGTGATGGAGGACCCATTGCCTGCAGGTGCTCCACTCTCAGCTGAGGTTGCCTCTGGGTCTGGTAGAGGCTCAGGGCAGAGAGGCGGAAGGAACTAAGTTCCCACAGGAGGAGTGCTTGCCTCCAGGCCAGGAGAGGCGAGTCACCTGTGAACCGGGGCTGCCCTATGCCTCGGGGCAGATAAAAGCCGGCCAGCCCCACTCCCAATTTGCGGGAGCAACATTGTTGGTAGCCTGTTCCTGCCTGCACCCTGTCCTGATGGAGCTCCTGACCTTGCCCGATTCCCTGCCTTGGACACAGTTTCAGCTTTGACAGACGGCTTCAGTACTGCACCCTCGACCTCGGACTGGACTCGGACCTTTCCTCATGGAAACAGCACAGCTTTCTATGGGGGTGGAATCACTAAGCGTCTCACGATCTACCACGATCTACCACAGACGTCCAGTGATCTACCGGCAGATCACAATCTATCTGTTGGACATGCCTGGACTAGATGATCCTTGTGGCTGCTTCCAACTCTTCTAGGATTCAAAACACTTCCTTAATTTTTCCCCCTTTGGAACAGTATTTCTGCCTCTACAAGCTATGCGGAGGGGTGAATCAGTTCAGTTCAGTGCCTGTGGGTGGAAGACCTA